CATCTCTTTTTCACAAGGGCTTCAATACAAGCTATAGCCTCATATTTTTCACCATTTTATCATTGTGTTCAAAATGTCAGCACTGTTTCAATAGCCTTGCATAGTAAACAACTGATAACTGAAAAGTTTGTATAAATATCAACATTTAATTCTCATTCTAAGCACAATCTTGAGCACAAGTACGGTCAACCCCTTTACTGTCAACTTTGTTACTTCGCTGACGGCAGTAATCATATTCCAACATACACAAACATTTATGAATTTAGCTACAATGATATCAATGATATATGCTACCACTTAAACATCATTTGTACATCAGGTCCATCCAACATATATGTGCACAATGGCCACAATGGCTACGTTTTAATGAGTTTTCTCCACATGAAGTAGCTAAGGGCAGCAGTACTCACACCATGGTGGCCGATCAGAACGCTGGCGCAGTGAAACAGAGGAGGACAGCACTCTGTGAGGGATGTAAGAGTCCCCTGTGGGCTGGTTCTGGGAGTCAAACATGGCTGAGAGAGCTACAGGAGGGGAGACAAACACATACAGTTAGGACACAGGTGCATTATTTCAGTATCAAAAGAGCTGCGACTGACCTAACACTGTCCTAAATGTATGCCATGTTAGAGTGGTGCTATGGGCATCACCTCTGGTTGTCCTGGTGTGGGAATCTCCTGCATTCTCACACATAGTCGTCAGGAACTCGTTGACTTGTTTGAGTGAGAGTGAGTTGTGGAGGGTCTCGAGGGGGTAGATGGAAGGCACCATGGAGCAGCCTTCAAAACCTGCAGATGAGAGAAGTGATGAGAGAAGACAGTCCTCTATCCAGACGTCAGTATGCACCCAGAGTGACACAACAGTCTATTACCACTGAACCAATGTCAACAGTCATTCCACCTACTGCCAAACCCTTGTTAGTGACAGAACCACAGTCACGGGCGGAAAACATTCAGACACCTTACACGCACACAAACAAACCCACCACATCCTCTTATCATTCATTCAAGACTTATCGTGTATTACATAGGAAATCTAAATCTACATTTAAAAATAAAGACAATTACACAGTTTGGTCGTAATGTCACACTCACACAACTTCAAGTAAAACAAAAAAAGTCCCTTTAATTAGTAGTTAGAGTCTCTATGCACTTCTTTTAGTTGAAAAACCACACTCTTAATGTAGATTAAAGCAACGCATGTAAATTAGGAGGGAGCTGGCAGAGACAATAATAATAAAAACAGGAATGAATGTGAGAACTACACCTGTGGATCATCACGTAATCAGTGCATGAATAGTATAAAAGGAGATATGATTTCATGACAATACATCACTTATGACTATTACTTATGAAAGTGACCCTGGATTCTGGAGAATTTAGTAAAAAATTCAAATAATAACAATGTACATGTATGATTATGTATGAAGTAATAGAGGTTCGATTAATCATTGTGGAAAAAAGTGAAAAGTGAAAACTCACATTTGGAAGAGAGAATTACAGTATTTTATTTATCAAATCCCTGGAAGCCTGTGGCATGCAAATCATGTGCCACTATCATGCAAGTCAGTCATTTCTGATACGTCAGAGAGCCGATGCGACTGTAAGCTGACACAGTTGCAATAAGATGCCACTGGCATGCATCTGCCACACCACACACCCCAACACACAGCAGTGGGAGATCACCCTAATGCTACTCCAAACTCTTCTGTACACACATGTTTAAATCTGTAAACAATCTGTTTATAAATACTGGTCTGAATAGTTTGCATGAGTACCAAACTATCAAACAAGAGTACTTCTTTAATTTATGAATTTATGTTAATTTAAATTAAATCTGACTGGGACCAGTCCCTTTTTAACAAAAGTAATTTACACTCTTTCGTATGGTCGAATTAATTTCTCTCAAAAAGTCTGAAATATCACCTAAGAGGGTGATATTTTTTGGTATATTATTTTGTTCTCTTTTATTACTAGAGGAATTGAATGTACTACATTACCATTCAAAAGTCTATTGTGCTTACCAATGCTGCATTTTTTTGATCAAAAGTACTGTAAAAGCCGCAATATTGTGAAATATTATTACAATTTGAAATAACTATTTTCTATTTTAATGTATTTTAAGATGTAACTGATTCCTGTGAAGGCAAAGCTGAATTTTCAGAATTTACATGATCATTCAGAAATCATTCTGATATGCTGATTTGGTGCACAAGAATCATTTCTTATTATTATCAATGTTGAAAATAGTTGTGCTGCTTAATATTTTTTTGTGGAAACTGTAATACATTTTTTTCAAGATTGTTTGATGAATAGAAAGTTTATTTTTATTCAGTTTAACATTCATTTGAAATAGAATCTTCTCGTAACAATGAGAAAGTGTTTATTGACACTTTTGATCAATTTAATGCATCCTTGCTGAATAAAAGTTTGTTTTTATAAATAAATAAATCCTTACTGACCCCAAACATTCGAACAGCGGTGATCCTATTGAAAGGAAAACAGCTTAGGAGGTGAATTACAGCTAATTTAATTTTACATGTATTATGTTAAGGCCAAAACACAGGATTAATCACAATACATTTTTTTTATTTATACTTATATATTTTATACCTATATAGCTAAAAAAAAAAAAAAAAACCTACATAAACTTAAATTAAAAAAAATATGTGAGCTGTGTCACTGCAAGCTGCTTTTCCAAAAAAACACAAGCATGCTTCAAACAGCAGAGGCGCTAGAGCAAAGCTAAGGCGGCTGTGGCAGCGGTCATTACTGCAGTCACGGCACAGCAGGGCACGGAGGGACCTCCCCAGGGCTGACCGTAGAGGTACTCTAGTGGGTCCTGGCCAGAGATTAACCAGTTGCGGAAGAGGCGGAGATGGTAGGAGCACTGATGGAGGTGGTGGGCAAAAGCACTGTCCAAACAGAACGGGTGGCCAATATTGGGGTCGGTGGAAAAGCGCCTCAGCAGCTGGGCTACCTGGTGCTCTTCCAGGGGTTCTGAGGAAGAAGAGGCAGAGCAGGGAAGAAAAGAGTGGAGAGTAGGGGGTTTGAAAAGCAGACGGCTGAGGGCGTGGGGTCCTCATGGGGACATTGTGGACAGAGAGTACCGTTTCATTACTTAGCATGCCATCAGAAAAGCTCCCCACAACAGGTCTGCCACCGTTTAACAGACACTTGTCCACATTTAAACACACCTAAACAGTTAGCCTGAGCGACTGATAATCCCAAGCAGACACACAGCATCACTTAAGTCTGTTGTATTCCACAGCTTTCATTCACAAACCATGTACTGTGCAGAGGAAACAGTACCATCTCCTGGGGTCAACATCCATCGATTAAGGCACAAGACCACAAGGGATTCAAGGAACAACTCACTAAGCTATACACAGAAACGGTCTACATACCCACACTGACATAGAGAACTTCAAAACAAATCTATTTTTCTTCACACTGTGAATTCTTGAGCATGCAAATGGACACTGTGTAGTTAGGCCCAGTTGATTAACTCAATCAGCCTGACTGAATTAAAGCTACGGTGGGACAAAGATCTATCATTACCTGAGCCAGACCACCATAGAGGTGGTTGAACCGCCATGGCAGAAGCGTCATCCTGTGTGCCTGAAGTGAATAAAGTGCTCAGAGGAGTCAAACATCACACCCCTATTAGACTACACTATGACACAAAAAATTTGGGGTCAGTAGGATTTTTTTCTTTGAAAAAAGTATTTTATTTAACAAGGATCCATTTAATTGACTATTTCAAATAAATGCTGTCCTTTTAAACTTTCTGTTGATCAAAGAATCCTGACAAAATGTATAGTTTCTACAAAAACATTAAGCAGCACAACTGTTTAAAACATTGATAATAATAAGAACTGGTTCTTGAGCACTGAATCAGCATATCAACGGCTGCTGAAAATTCAGCTTTACCATCACAGGAAAATAGTTTTTAAATATTTTAAAATATATTAAACCAGAAAACATTTGCTTTAAATTCTAATGCTATTACTGTTTTTTTGTTTGTTTGTTTTTTTAACAGTATTTTGATCAAATAAATACAGTCTTCGTGGGCATAAAAGACTTAATCTTACTGACCCCAAACTTTTGAACGCAAGTGTAAAGGCCATTTTTATATCTTTTTATAGATCTCTACCATACCACCACTTTTGGTAATGTTAGTGATCGTAACAAATATGGATTTAATCTATCTATTTCATTTGAATATTCAATTATTTAATAAAAAAATTCAATGATTCCTTATTTTATTTCAATCATTTAATCGTTTTGTTGTAAAAGTTGTTAATTAATGCAATTTATAAAGGACAATCTATTAAAGAGCTGAGGTGATAAAAAAAAAATTCAGGATCAACAACCTGAAAAAAATGAAAAATAAAAGATCAGCCTCAGTGAATACTTGAGTTTTATTAGGTTAACAGTATTTGTCATTAGATCATAACCAATGCGTCCAACACGAATACACATATTTGTTTTTTATATCATGCTGTGTATTTTCCATTTATATTCAGTCAGTTAATTATATTTGTTACACCCTATACTACACCTACTCCTTGCAGAAACCTTTTAGCTTTTTATTAAGACATTATACAGTCTCTTTATTAAGCCGTTTCATCATGTGTACCATTGGGAGGTGATAACAGTGTAGATGATTACAGGTTTAACTATCCTCGTGGGGACATCTGATCACCACCTGACCAACATATGCACACACTTTACCAGGAACACACAAAAATATAATGATATAGGCTGAATGAACTGAATTTGTTTAAAGAGTATGCACTCATCTCAGAGACATGAAGGTAAACGAGTATTTCTTAATAACTACAGAGACATGGCTGTAGGCTCCTACGTGAAAGGTTTGAGAGCTGGATGGCTTAGAATGTGTGGTGGGTAGAGTGTGTGGGATGTGGCAGGGAATGGGGATTGTGTAGGTGGATCAGGGACCATCTTTAAGCTCTGCCTGAGATGTACTGAACACATACAGAACTGTGTCCAAATACACCTACATAACACACTGCAGTAATTCATATAATTTCACAAGCAGTTTTTTGCATTGTTCTTGACCTTTATCACCTCCATTCAGGTCTGTTTACACTAGACAACATCTCCAGACATCCAACATAAGCAAGACGTTTCTTTTATTCGTTTATTCATTTCAGATTTTAAGCTGCTTCCCATGAAGAACCAGAGTAAAACACTCCTTGGTTTCATAGCTCAACATTTACAACATTTAACATAATTGGGTCAAAGACGAAATGCATCAAAAAAATTTAAGTTAAATTAAGCGAGAGAGACCAGCTTCATCACTGTGTCTGTCACGCGACTCTGTTCCCCTTTCGGGCTCTGTCTTTACATTTATGTTGAAAGCTGAAGCTCGCGATTATGGTAAGGGGCGTTACATTTCCGACGAGTGCTTGCGGTGTTCGGCCAATCACAATGCACTGGGTCAGCTGGCCAATCAGAGCAGACTGCGCTTGTCGGAAGGAGGGACTTTGTAGAAAACGAAGCGTTTGAGAGAGGCGGGGCATAGAGGACCTACAATAATGTACAGTATTTGAAAAATAATGTGTTTTTTGAACATTAAAGCATGTCAACATATTCTGTTACACCAAATACACAAAATAATGATCTTTAAAAAAGCATCATATGACCCCTTTAATATAACACAGCCAACACTTTTTTAACTCTACAGTTGTGCAGTAAATTTAAAGATTCTCGAAGATGAACAAATTGCCAAAAATGTGTCTCCTTGTGGAAAACAAAGACTTTTAAAATGAGAATGACATGAAATTACCAGTATAACCAGTAGATGGCAGCAGAGGATCAATCATCAGCTCATTTGAAAATGCCAAGAAAACGAATATATATTTTTAACTTGGTATTTTATATGTTTTAAAAATCAAAGTTCGGACCATTATGCTTTGGAACATTTTTTTGACATTTTATTTTCACAAAAGTTATTTGAAATAGGTAGTATTTGAAGTAGACACTTCACTTGCATTTAACATGTTTTTTATGTATTTAAAAGGACTTTTGTCAATTTAATTTGATGCGGACACCAAAATGGTGACGTCTCGTCTTTGACCCAATTACGATTCACAACAACATTCATCTTAAATAAACTTGGAGAGAAGATTAATGGAGTAAAAGAGTGACAGGTGAACCATTGCCCTGTGAACAATCACTTTCTGCTACATTTAAATAATTTCAAAACAGTGAAAAACACTGTCCAACAATACCAGAGCAATGACAACTGTGGACAGGGGAAGGGTTCAGTTATTGGTGTGCTGTCCAGTAATGGTACAGATTAATTATCTTCAATATCTATTTATAATTGTACATTGCGAAAAAAAAAAAAAATCATTATCTTAATCAGTAGTATTTTTATGTATTTATTTCGCAGTAGGAATATCAAAGCATCCTTATTACAAACTAAATTTAATTACTTTAGAATAGTACATAAAACATTACAACTCGTTTGCAGAGAATATATCTTAAATTAACTTATTTTTCTCAGCACACTGTCAAATTGTTTTTAACAAATTAGTTGAAGATATTCTCTCTGAAATACTACTGTTCAAAAGTTAGAGAGATTTTTTTTATGTTTTTGAAAACAAAAGCTATTATGGTCACGAGGTCTGCATTTATTTGATAAAAAATACAAAAATATAGTGAAATATTATTACATTTATAAAAATAAATAAATCTTTTCTATTTTAATATATTTTAAAATGTAATTTATTCCTGTGATGGAAAAGCTGAATTTTCAGCAACCATTACTTCATTCTTCAGTGTCACATACAGATTTGGTGCTCAAGAAACATTTCTTATTATCAACATTGAGATTGTGCTGCTTAATATGAATATTTGTGGAAACTGTGATACTATTTTAAAAGAAAGTTCTACAGAACAGCATTTATTTGAAATAGAGATGTGTTGTAACATTATAAACGTCTTTACTGTCTCATTTTTATACAGCAACGATTCAAAAATATTCATTTCTTTCAAGAAAATAAAAATCAACTGACCCCAAACTTTTGAACGATAGTGTATCTTATATAAGTTTGCTCCCCAAATGTAAAACAAGACAAAAAAATTCTGATTAAGAACATGATTTTTTTTTGCAGTGTAATACACCCACCTTCCCACAGACTTGTGCACACACAATCAATCACAGAAAACAAACACGTGTTTGAACTCATTCACATGAACAGTCATTTGTAACTGATTAACATCGAGTCACTGTGTGAGAGTGAAAGCTGTCCGCAGGAGGTTACAGATAGCGATAGCGGTGTATGTGGGAAGGGTTTGAGACTTTGTTGAATGGTTAAAAAGATGATGAAACTGGAGAGGTCGAAGGAAACATGGTAGAAATCACGTGAAAACAGAAGAAAACTAAACCGACCAAAAATTCCAAAATGAAAAGTGTTTTCCATTGACATGCAAAACAAAGGGAGGTGGAGGAAGTGGAAATATACTTGAAGAGAAGCAGACGTACCATTAGTCGGATGCTTTGCAAACGACACAGAAAATCGCTTTACTGCCGGCATAGACAACAACTCTGAGGAAATAAAAAAGGTCACTAGAGTTACCATATTTTACAGTACACCTGTAGAGGATGGGGATGGTGTTACAGAGCTGAAGGTGTGAGACTGTCAAGGATAGTAGGGTGAGGAGTGTAGGGCTGGGTTTCTACTGTGACTACAGACTCAGAAACACTGGGTCAGAAAGCAGAAGAGCAGTGTTTAGTGTCTCAATGTGATTTAGACTTTCAGCTAAAGAGTGACAATGTTCCTTATTACGAGGAAGTAAGATTTCAATCTCACAAATGGGTTTATTGAGGCTATTCCTAGCTCAGGTAGAGAAAATAAACTCAATTAAAAAAAAATGACAGTAAGAGGATCTTTATCTTAACTGCTTAAATGTCTTCACATAGTTGCCACTGTAAACGAGTGAATCTATTTATAACACTTTGGCTACAGTAATATTTTCGGCTTGTCACTTTATGGGCACTTCTCTACTATAAATACAGATGCCATCTTATCAGACGTCATCTCTCAGAACAAACAAAATGTTGGACAGAATCATGAAGAGCTGGAGACGGTCAGATCGACCCCTCGCTTCTGTAAGCAACTTTGGGAGTCTGTAGGGTAACAGCACATGCCTTCACAGGACACAATCACACACAACAGTGAAGACAAAGAGACTGGGGATTGTGTTCTATAGATGGGTCCTAGAGACCAGCCAGAGATTTTAACTGAAGCTAATACGGTTAAATGAACAGGCTCATGTATAAGATAGCAACAAATGGAAGAGTAAAGTTAGAACTGCAAAACAGCAGTAAACAAAACAAGACACAGGAAATGGGAAGTGAAACAGGGAGAACTCCAAACACTGTCACACTGACACCTTGTGGACAATAGGATTCACCATGAGCGTACAAACTGAACATTCTGGAAAGAATCAGGGGATGTGAGAGCACTCCAGTATAGACCGGAGTATGGTGACCGAGAAGTGCAAAGCAGATCACAATTCTGAAAACAAAATAACAAATTACAAACGCAAATGCAAGTCTAAAAAACAAAATAACAATTCAGAAAGCACAACAACAATTCAGAAAACATTATAACAAGTCAGAAAACACAATGACAAATTCGAAAACCAAATAACAAGTCAGTGCATTTGCGTTTGTAATTTGTTATTTTGTTTTCAGAATTGTGATCTGCTTTGCACTTCTCGGCCACCGTACTGGAGAGACAATTTGTCAATGCAGTTTCAGATAAAATACTATGGAAGGATATTCCGGACTATTTTCAAAAGGAATTGCAAATTGTATCTTCAGTTGCGTTTTCCATATGTAGACGCATACGCAACTGAAAATACAATTTGCAATTCCTTTTGAAAATAGTCCGGAATATCCTTCCATAAAATACCAAATTAGAGTGAAATCCAAAGCTAATGGCCACTTATCGAATATAGTAATAATTTCAATCCCCAAATATTGGGTAACCCTTTATAATAAGGTTCAGTTTATTAACATCAACTATCAAGACTAACAATCACCAGTCATTTTTACAGTATGTATTAGTTTAGGTTAATGTTATTGTTCATTGTTAATTCATTTTTTTTTTTAAATAATACATTAGTTAATGTTAAAAACTTGAAATGTTACAAATGTATTGTAAATTCCTACATATAATATTAACCAAGATTAACAAGATGCTGTAAAATGTGTTAACTAGTGTTAACATATAGAATCTTATTGTAAAGTGTTACCAAATAAAGTGATGTGATACAACTGCAATATACACTACTGTTCAAAAGTCTGGGATCAGTAAGATTTTTTTTAAGGAAATTAATACTTTTATTCAGCAAGGATGAACTGAATTTGATCAAAAGTGACAGAAAATAATATTACAAAATATTTCTATTTCATATACATGATGTTGTTTTGAACTTTCTATTCTTTAAATCCTGAAAAAATGTAGCAAGGTTTCCACAAAAATATTAAGCAGCACAACTGTTTTCAACATTGATAATAGTAAGAAATGTTTCTTAAGCACCAAATCAGCATATCAGAATGATTTCTGAAGGGTCATGTGACAATGAAGACTGCTAAAATTCAGCTTTGCTATAATAGGAATACATAACCTTTTAATATACATTCTAGATAATATAAAATATAATGTATAGAAAACAGATTTTAAAATGTAACATTTCACAATATTACTGTTTTTACTGTATTTCTGCACATAAGATTTCTTTCCAAACATGTAAAAAAAATTACATACCTCAGACTTTTGAACGGTAGTGTACAGTGAGTATAGAAAAGAATTTCCCCCTTTAAAATAATCACATTTTGTTGCTTTTCAGCCTGACATGAAGACGGACACAGTTTTTGTTTTTATCCAGCTGTATTTGTGCAACTTATAACATCCAAGTGAAAGACATAACACCAACATGTCAGAAAAAAAACAAAAAACAGAATCACCAACTTAGTTGGCAAAAGGATCACCCTCCTCCTAAAAAGACTTGTAAAATCAGGTGTAGCTAATCACCTTTTCAATGGCACAAAAAGCCATTTGACTTTCAACTGTGATCAGCTGTGGTCATTTTGAGTAGCTCAGCATTAAAAGAGCTTTCCTGGAGCATGTCAGTCCTTGGTAGTGCAACTGAAGCAAACAAATCAACTATGGGTGGCAAGGCACTGTCAAAACATCTCCGGAATAAAGTTGTGGACAGGCACAAGTCAGGAGATGGATACAAATACATTTGAAAGGCTTTATCAATGCCTAGAAGCACAGTGAAGTCTATTATTAAGAAGTGGAAGGTATTTGGTACAACACAGACCCTCCCTGGATCAGGACGTCCCTCCAAACTGGATGAAAGAGCCGGAGGAAACTGGTCAGAGAGGCGACCAAGAGGCCTACATCAACTCTGAAGCAGCTGCAGGAATTTATGACAAAGAGTGGTCATTGTGTGCATGTGAACAATATCACAAATTCTCCACAAATGTGGCTTGTATGGGAGGGTTGCATGATAAAGCCACTCCTCAAGAAAGGCCACATGCAGTTATGACTGAACTTTGCCAAAACACACCTAGAAGATTCTGAGGCAGATGAGACTAAAATTGAATTATTTGGCCTCAACACCAAACGATATGTCTGGCGGAAATCCAATCCAGCTCACCATCCAAATAACAGCATTACTGCAGTAAAGCATGGAGCTGGTAATATTCTGTTATGAGGGTGTTTCTCTGCAGCAGGGACTGGAGCACTTGTCAGTACAGGAGGAAAAATGGATGGGGCAAAATACAGTCAAATTCTTGAGGAAAATCTGCTGCCCTCTGCCAGAAAGTTGTCAATGGGAAGAAGGTTTACCTTCCAACATGACAATGACCCAAAGCACACAGAAAACTGAGCACACAGTGGTTGAAGGAGAAAAAGGTGAATGTCCTTGCATGTTCTAGTCAGAGCCCAGACTTAAGCCCCACTGAAAATCTGTGGAATGACTTGAAGACTGCAGTCCACAAACGCTCACCATCAAATTAAACTGAACTTGAGCAGTTCTGCAAAGAAGAGTGAGCAAATATTGCAAAGTCTAGACGTGCAAAATTAATAGAGACAAATCCCAACAGACTAAAGGCTGTAATTAAAGCAAAAGATGGTTCAACAAAATACTGACGCAAGGGGGTGATCCTTTTTCATACTCAGTGATTCAGGTTTTTTATTTATTTATTTATTTTTCTGACATGTTGGTGTTATATCTTTCATTCGAATGTTATAAGTTGCACTGAGTAAATCCAGCAGGATAAAAACAAAAACGGTGTCCATCTTCACTTCTATGGAATGCCAATCCTACCATAATTAGAAATAAAGAAAAAAAAGAAATGTACAAAGAAATGTAAAAAAGCAAATATAAATAAAAATATAAACAAATATACAAAGAAAAGTAAAAAAAGCAAAAATAAATAATTATTTATAATTTTATTTCCTTATTTGTTTTTTTTTCTCACATTTATTTATTTTTTCTTTTATTTATCCATTTATTTATTTTCACATAATGTATGGCGTGTGTTTCACTAGCTCCGTTCCCATGGACACCTTTGGTTTGATCTAATTCTGGATATTTCCAGCCTAAGACGTGTGATTAATCAGCCGATTGATCCGCATCTAAAGCCGTATCTACACCAAGAGAACCCATTACGGGAAGTGGCGCGAGGCGACAAATCTTCTACAGTAACTGATGCCTCTTTCCATCCCGAATCTTTGAAACATGCGTTGAAAGTGAAACCTAAAAAACAGCGCGCATAAGAAAGCACGCTTTCAGGAGCTTCAGCAAATGCACGCGATCACAGATTGCACGCTTCCCAGCCTAAACAACCAGCGACAAAGCGACAAATCTTCTACAGTAACTACCTGATGCCTCCTTCTATCCCGAATGTTTGAAACATGCGTTGTATGCGTTGAAAGTGAAACCTAAAAAAACAGCATGCATAAGAAAGTGATTGCAGGCTTTCGCGAGCTTCAGCAAATGCACTCGATCACAGATTGCACGCTTCCCAGCCGAAACAAACCCCCACGTGAAACTGAAATAATAACCTGTGATTTAAGATTTTGGCCATATTGCCCATCTAAATCATTCATCCCACACTATCAACGGGCACCTCATGTAGGCTACACTTCTTGTACATCGTTTGGGCACCACAAGGTGTCACTGTGGCCTCAAAGCTTACCCCTCGCCTACTCTGGCTCGATTGCTATTCCTGAGGTAAAACACGCCCTCTTCATTACCCTACAGACAAAGAAATGTAGAAATAAATAAATGTGAAAATAAATAAATGTATAAATAAATAAATGTGGAAATAAAGAAATAAATACGTAAATAAATACATAAATGTGAAAATAAATAAAAGTGGAAATAAATAAATGTATAAATAAATAAAATAAAAAATAAATAAATGTGGAAAAAAAAAATACATAAGGAAATAAAATTATAAATAATTATTTATTTTTGCTTTTTTACTTTTCTTCGTATATTTATTTATATATTTATTTATTTATATTTGCTTTTTTACATTTCTTTATTTATTTCTAATTAAGTCAGCTTTGGCATTCCATACACTTCAGGCTGCAAGGCAACAAAATGTAATTATTTTAAAGGGGAGTGATTCTTTTCTATACCCACTGTATCCGAGTCTGAATTGTAAAAAGTGATCATGTAGCAAATAGCCCCTTTATATAGATGAAGGCAAGGTCAGAGTTTATATTCAGTTTGCTGTTCACAAAATCTACATTTTTACCATGTTTTTGCTTCAAACTTTTTTGGATTCCTGCAATGGTACATAAACATATGTGTTTCCAATTAAATGATGTCAAAAATAAAACTGCTCACAAAATATGACAAATGACAAGTCAACAAAGACATAATTTATGAAAAACAATGAATGGCACTGTAGACTCCATGAGTTTTTGGACACCACACATTCAAGATCGTGAAAATGAACCAGACGTGAAATGTTGAGTATGACAGCAAGATGTGTGATACACACTCGAGACCTGATGCAATGAATGTTCTTAATCCTAAAATTTACATTACTCACATTTACAGGAAGTGCCCTTTAACTAGTTTCTAGCTTCTAAACTCTTTTATTATCTCTATGAGAGAAGGAGCTGGACTGAGCACATACCGTCTTTATAGGTCAAACTGCCCGAGGAGAATTTTTTGCGGTGTGTGCGTGCGTAGTCCTGAAGGTTGGGGGCACTAGAGGAGCCCCCCAGGACGGTGGTGCTGAAGAGGCCAGCGCACTGAGAGCCTGCAGAGGGGGTTAGATCATGGAATTAGTGTGCACACCAACCACATGCACTTATTAATCAAAACACAACAGTTACTGCAGAGAGAGTGAGAGGATTATAAAGCCATAATATATGACTCGTGCCAAAACCATTGCGGTTTGGCGACCATCAATGACAGAGGCTTAGTAGAGCAAAATCTAATTAACAAAAGACAGAAGCAATGTTCTTGCCAGGGAAATATTCTTGAAAGTATATACCTTATATCTATTAGGAACAATTATGAAAAAATAAAATATAAATAAATAAATGTAAAAAAAAAACAACTTCAGTGAAATGGCAGATGAGTATGCTCAGTATATGAGTCATATGAACGAGTATATGAGTATATGAACGTCAGCGTTCACATGTCATTGATAGTAAATATATGATTAGACAAATTAATAATTTCAAATCTACAGATAGTTAGGTATGAAATATGTCTGACTGCATGCAGGATTATTTGCTCATTTACACCCTTGTCAAATGTGTTTTTTTCCATGCAAAACTTTTAAGTTTTAAAACTGCAGGAAATATTCATGGCACTTTCTTTCATAGGTAACAGCTTTGCGTAAAGATAACCAACTAAACTGACATCAGAGATAAGAGCACTAGTTTTAAATAGAGCAGAAGAATTAATTCTTGGAGAATGATTCCTCTAAGATGTCTAAAAATGAACAACATCCCACTCCCACACACCAAACTCCATCTCTGGATCCAAAATTTGTATCCACCAATTTCCTTGGTAACATCAATGAAAGCAGTCAGCTAATGGATTTTACACCCGACATAACATGCAGTATAGTGTTGCGTTGGATTCAGAGGGTGATTTCCTGTCAGGGAGAAGAGATAAACAGCAGTTGTTGAGGCTGAGTGAGGGACAGACACATGATACCAACCTAATCCGCTCTGCTTCATCTCTGGAGACTGACGTGAGCAGGAGGGGAAGAGGCGATAGCTGCCCCCTTTAGAGGACGAGCTTTCTGACAGGACCTGTGCACACAACAAATGAAGAAAAGCCAGCCTGATTCTGACCACAGAGATTTATAAAAGTATTTTTAAAGCACACTGTTCAGTGGTTGGCATAGTAGGTGGCTGAGTGAGATACCTCCATGGAGCCAGTCTTGCGGTTCCGGATCAGAGGCGATTTCCTCTGGGTGCTGATGGCCTCTGAAAGGGGCAAAGCGCGGTCAGGCTCATCTTGTATGAGATTTTCCAAACTACCAGGGTCTGTTTGCTTCTGATCATTCTATGTGAACACACACAAACACAGACATGGAAACTTCAGCAAACAAACCTAGCTATCATTAGCTGAAAAACAATCTAATCCAAACATAATGAGAAAATGGAACAAAGGAAAGTCTGTATACTTCAGCAGAGGCTGGTCGGAAGCCAAAGCCCATTGGAGCACTCTCCTCCTCAGATACTTTGACCCCAGGGCTGAAATGCAGTTCCACATGGAAGCGTTCTTCAGAGGATGGGTCCTGAGTTAACAAAATATCACAATTGTCACATTTTTTTGAAGCACTCTATTGAGACTGCACAGTCCCCACTCAAACATAAAACATTTTACAGCTCAGTTATTACAGTTCACTTATGTTTATTCTGTGCCTCAAAGGAGCAGAATGGACAGTGAGAGCAGGATGTACCTTATTGTTGTCTTCATAGAGCATTATGACGATCTGGGTCATGTAGTTGAGCTCAGACACTGCACTCAGATAATCCATGGCTCTCTTCCACTGCTGGTCCTTCTCCTCCTGAAACATCATGCATCCTTTAACACTCAACTGATACCACAATCAAAGACAATTGCTTAAAAAAGTGCTCTTGTTCTCTCTTTTACTTTTCATTTGTACTACTGCAATAGCTTCTGCACTTCTCTACCCTTTTGAAAAAGAAGTACACTTTAGCATGGAGTACTTCAGTAGTTAAAAACTGCTTTCTTCTCATGGTTGACCTACCAGGCTTACTTGTTGTGTCAGTCATTTTGACTTTACCCTCAATACATTTCTCAATGCCAAAGTGGCATAAGGGCAGTTACACCCTTTTGGCACCAACTGGCTTAGTATTTTCAGTGTTAAGTCTTTTGGTTTCTAATGAATAACTCCAATTATGAATTCACTTGTGTCCTTTTGGCAGTAAAAAGAGCTCATCAAGAGCTTTCATTTGATGTAATGATGAAGTTGGAATTTACTACATTTAAAATCTATTAATTTCTAATGTGCTATGATACTTACATCCAATAGGCCACCATAACGGAAGATGCTAAGCAGTGAGTGGACGTGACTCTCGCTCGTGAAATACAGCCGAGTTCGGACATGCCTGCCTGGTGACAGCACTCCACGTGAATATCTGGGACACAAAGAGATGGACAAGTGTGAGCTCTCATGCTCAATAGGAGAGATCAAATAAAAGAAAAGAGATGAGACTGACAAAACGGCATCTCACAGTGGATGCAGCTTGTTTACAGACTCATCCTCATGTGTCCTCTGAAGGTCAAGCTGAATCTTCTTCACTAAAGGCAGACAGTAGGCATACGCAATATCCAGCTTCTCCACCTTATTAATGCCGTACTCCTAAAAAAGTAGTTTGAAGGACAGCTGTATTACAGTTGAAACACTCACATATACTCAAATATATACTTTTTTTAAATTATTTAAATTACAAAAACAAAACAAAATTACTAAAACTCTAACTAAAATTAAAATGAAAACAGAAAATATAAAAATATAAAAATAAATTCAAAATATTCAAAATATTAACAAAAACTAGTATGTCAATGATACTAAAATAGCACGGCTGTTAGTTGGACTATTGATAATAGTAAGATTATCTGTTGGACTACATTTTTAGATTTCACTTTTTGTTGTGGTATCCAAGAACTGAGTGATATGTGAAAAAATATTTAAACTGATTTTTATTCCCCAAACAAAGCAATAGCTAGTGCTAGTGAAAATATTTGGAGAAATATCGGTATTCAAACAAACCTGTTGCTAAAGCAACTATGTAAAAACTGTATAAAAATAAATCTTCAGCTCTGAGGAAATGCTGTACGAGTTCATGAGTTTCAGAATTTTCTCACACACCTGTGGTATGACAGTGTTGGCTAGTGCTCTAGAGAGCTTGAAGAGTTCGTATGTGTCCTCCAGGCCCAGAGAGATGTTGTGCTGCACGTCATACTTAACACAGTCGTAAATGTCAGGAATCTTGCTGATGTCGTAGCGGCCACTCTTCATGCGGAAGTCCCTTTCCAACTTAGACCAGCGCTGCAGCATCATCTCCAGTGTCTCGCTGTGGTACAGCTGTAAATCTGAAAGGAAACACCAACTCACTTACTCAGGTCTTTTTTTCACAAGTTACTCATTTTGGCCTTTTAATGTGTTTTTCTCTCTTCTATGAGCACAGAGCAATCACCTGCTGATTTGGGGTCTTCAAGTCTTTTGTGGATCTGTGAGGTTAGGCTCTGGACAAGGGTGTAGACTTGATCACACGTACTTACTGGATTCTCCACAGCCTTCATAGAGTTCACCAGAGAGCTGCTGCATGTTGGAGCCAGCTGGAGAAACAAGAGATAAAGTGGACACAGGTGTGTTTTCATATCAAGTCAGCGGAGGGCTGAATACACCCTTAGTTCAAAAGCTGTCTGATGCTTCGATTTACCCTGTCAAAGTCTTCTTCTGTGAAGATTTCATCTTTCTGCATGATCTCGTGAAGTCTGGCCTTAACCCTCTGCTGACAGCCACTGAGGGATTCGATATCGTTATCCAGCAGGCCGTTCATATTTGCACTCTTTACCATCTGGACCAGGATCGGTGTCAGTTCCCCTTCCAGTGCCAAGAGACCCTGACAGCCAGACAACCAACACCAACTTAACATCCTCTGACAACTTAATATCTTTAAACCTTAGACGACCTGTATTTGTTGTGACTAAAGACCTTCGCAAAGGCAGCAGCAGTCATTTGCACTCTGCCCTCATCAGAGGCATAGATCTTGAGGTCATGCCGGTAGGTGCTGTGTAGCCTGAGCAGGCCGCAGCCTGGAAAGCCAGCATAATCCCCTACAAGTGGACAAGAAAATAACATTCACAGATGAAAACATGATGAGACTAAATAGCCATATTGAACTGAGGCAATCAACCCTGTTCCTGAAAACCCAGTCTTTCTGGGTTTCGCTCCAAACCTAATCAAGGTCTTGCTTGACAGTAAGAGGCATGGGTGTTGGAACAGACTGGAACAAAACTCTGCAACATAGTATCTGCAGGAACAGGGTGGAACACCCCAGTATAGTCTACATTAACATCCAAAGGTTTAACAAGTCCAAAGACTGAAAATGTTTTCATAACATAACTGCAAACGGGTATATTTTTCTCTCAAATCTCATTCATTCCAGTGTTCAATTCAAGTTTGGCAACTTCACCAATAAGCAAAACATGACTGTAAATAAAATTTGCGAGATAAGAAAGAACGGAAGTTTATTAGTGAACAACAGCTAAAATTTAAAGGGGTCATAAAGGGGAACTGAGAAATCAAATTTTTTTTTGACATATAAGAGACATTGTACTATATAAACATCCTGTAAGTTTCAGAACTCAGAACTTTCTCGTTAGTCTAAAAACAGCTTATATTGAAGCCAATCTGCCATAACAGGTTGTGGAATGTGCCACTTTATGACGTAATAGTGTGGCTAAACACTGCCTCTGCAGGAGAAGATCAACGCCTGCTTCTACAGCACTGCCTCTTTAGCCCCGCCCACCGATTTGCACACGTAGCGTAAATAACGAGAGAGGCAAACGCAGGTACACAGAAACCAAACGATAAAGATGGCTCAGAATACAACAATATGCTGTACATCACCTTCCTTCTGATCCCAACATTAGAAAAGAATGGATGAACTTTATTTTTAAATCCTCTGAAAAGTTTTTTTTTAAAGTGTCAGACCACGTCAGTAAGAACTTGGTCATTTGTTCACTTAATTTCACCGCAGATTCATTCACAAACAAGGCACAATTCGACGCAGGATTTTCAGAAAGATTGAAAATAAAGACTATGCTGTGCTGAATGTATTGGATCCGACAATAATGTGACACCACACATGTGTGAGTAACAGTTTTTATTACGTGGTCACTATTGCTTTGTCTGTAAATACAGATCGTTTGATATGTACTGAGTACTTATGTGTTTTTAATCTAAATCACAGCAGTGTCCATCTTTGAAGGATGTAGGCTGTCAAACATACACAACTGCAAGCCAATCATAGCAGTGGACGAGTCTACAATCAATCACGCCTATTCAAACAGAACGTTCTGATGAAGGGGGTCAAAACCAGACAGAAAAAATGCCTTTTACTTCTAAATTATGATGAGTCCAAAGACTGAAAATGTTTTCATAACATAACTGCAAACGGGTATATTTTTCTCTCAAATCTCATTCATTCCAGTGTTCAATTCAAGTTTGGCAACTTCACCAATAAGCAAAACATGACTGTAAATAAAATTTGCGAGATAAGAAAGAACGGAAGTTTATTAGTGAACAACAGCTAAAATTTAAAGGGGTCATAAAGGGGAACTGAGAAATCAAATTTTTTTTTGACATATAAGAGACATTGTACTATATAAACATCCTGTAAGTTTCAGAACTCAGAACTTTCTCGTTAGTCTAAAAACAGCTTATATTGAAGCCAATCTGCCATAACAGGTTGTGGAATGTGCCACTTTATGACGTAATAGTGTGGCTAAACACTGCCTCTGCAGGAGAAGATCAACGCCTGCTTCTACAGCACTGCCTCTTTAGCCCCGCCCACCGATTTGCACACGTAGCGTAAATAACGAGAGAGGCAAACGCAGGTACACAGAAACCAAACGATAAAGATGGCTCAGAATACAACAATATGCTGTACATCACCTTCCTTCTGATCCCAACATTAGAAAAGAATGGATGAACTTTATTTTTAAATCCTCTGAAAAGTTTTTTTTTAAAGTGTCAGACCACGTCAGTAAGAACTTGGTCATTTGTTCACTTAATTTCACCGCAGATTCATTCACAAACAAGGCACAATTCGACGCAGGATTTTCAGAAAGATTGAAAATAAAGACTATGCTGTGCTGAATGTATTGGATCCGACAATAATGTGACACCACACATGTGTGAGTAACAGTTTTTATTACGTGGTCACTATTGCTTTGTCTGTAAATACAGATCGTTTGATATGTACTGAGTACTTATGTGTTTTTAATCTAAATCACAGCAGTGTCCATCTTTGAAGGATGTAGGCTGTCAAACATACACAACTGCAAGCCAATCATAGCAGTGGACGAGTCTACAATCAATCACGCCTATTCAAACAGAACGTTCTGATGAAGGGGGTCAAAACCAGACAGAAAAAATGCCTTTTACTTCTAAATTATGATGTTTATTGATGTAAAAATTTTGAGATCATTATAAGTGGACATAATAATAAAATAAGGCAGTTCATGACCCCTTTAAGTCTGATCTTCACACAAATGTATCAGAAGACAATAAAGTGATATGAACAATATAGTTTTATGACACTTTTATAATGCAAATGGCATAAAACTGCCTCACAGAAAAAAAGAGGCAGAAATTATAACCAAGAACAAACAAGAAAAAGGGAAGTGAATAATATAAAGACTGCTGAATAGGCACTCGGTTTTATCCCAACATTGGGCAACATTTCATACTATCTTACATTTAATACATTTCAAGAACATGAAGTAAAATGGTTGTATTATAATAAATACTTCATAAATCTTTGTTTAATACAGTGCAGCAGGGATGACATATTTTTGTTGGCCAACCCAAAGCCAATAGGATTTCTCCTGAAGTAAAAAGCTAAATCGTCAAATGTTGCCACCATTAAGCTTCTGAAGACTCCTTCCATTTTTTTATTAAAATCTACAAGTTGGGAAGTGTGAGTAAGAATAACTTGCAAGAATGCAAATATAAACACAACAAGGGTGTAAAAGTGGACTAGTAAGTAGATGAGTTTTCCTGTTTGGCATGATGACGTTTAATGTCCCCAACAACCTCCGTAGTCCCATTTAGCCACTTCTTAGCAATTGCCTTTTCAAGAAACAAAAAGCTTAAATTCACAAGTGAGGTATTACTGAAGTATTTTATGCTGTGGAATTAAACTGTGAAAATATCTTGAGCGCTCTGTTAACCACAGACATTTAACCAAAAACCCATAAAAAAAAAAAAAACCTCGCCTTCGGGACAATGGAACCCGGAAGTTCAAAAATGCTTACTCATTTCTGAGTTTCAGGACTCATTCCGACAGCACTCTATATGCAACTGTATATTGTATTAGTCACTATTAATCAGTTATTTAACTATGATTCATATATTCATATTCATAAAATTCACCAACTACTCATCTATTAAGCATTACAGTATATAATGCTTTTAGATGATTGATTAATGGACATAATTAAGATGTCCAATATTCTGTCACATGTGTTTTATGTGTAATGTTGGATTAGAATGCTGTAAGGAGGAACTAAAAAGCATGAGATTTGTGGACTCGGAAACTCATGATGAAGAACATCTAAAGTGCGAAATGGGCACAACCAGTGATGAATGTCTGTGTCCTTAAGCTTAAGAGACTGACAGACAGGAGACAGGTCTACCTTGACCTCCAGGATACATGCAGCGAAAAGCCCTGCCAAGTTCTTCAGCCTGAACTCTGCCAGCTGGAGTCAGCTCTCCCCCCCACTTCAGCACCAGCAGTATAGAGGGGCCCTCCTTACGAGTATCTGCTCACAACACACACAGCAGCACCATCATGCACAACATGATTCAAGCCAAAGAGGACATGTTTCCCGATCAGCAATCCTCATACCTTCCTCCTCACTGGATGTTTTGGGCTGTCCATGAGGAAGGTAGGTTAGCTGCACTTTCCTATTGATTCCAGAGAAATGGCCATACCTAAAAAAAAAATCAGAACAGAGACAATAGTTTAATTAGGCCATATCCTATAGGCTCCAAAGAAGTTTACCTTCCACCTCACTGTTTTTGACTGATGTCTATATTAACATCTTGCCAGGACTTGCCAGATCAGCTGCTCTGAAATATATCCAGCGAATCTACGCTATTCCAAAATGAGTGATGCTTGACAAGGGTTGTGAAAGGGGACACTGCATATTGTGCCACTGGACGAATCTTACAACTGAGATTCTAAAAATACAGCATGTTGGTAATATATCTGAACATTGTGTTCATATACAACATCCATCAACTAAATCTCCTTTAAGACATGTTAAAGATGTCTCCTTTGACACACTAGAAACATTATTGTACTTTTTTTTTCTAAGAAAGCATCTGTTAGGAATATGAAGGCAAGTAATGCATTGTTTCATATAACACCTGATCCAGTAAAATTGTAAATGAGACATGTATCTATTTCTTTGGAAAATATGTCATGTCACAAGACTGAAAGGAGGCCACCACAGGACACTGCAAATGTGCCAGTTAGCATGACCCAGTTACCATCTTACAGTAACATACATTTCTAGAACAGTCTTTAGTTGTTCGAGCTTGGACTTCTTCTCCTCAATTTCACAGTCAGTATGCTGTCCTATGTCTGTCAAGAGTGTCCTGGTAATGTCCAGAACTTCCTGTGGAAACAGCGCAGCACAGATATGCTTTTAACAATAAATTTAACATTTAAATGAGTGGCTCTGAAACGGGGCTCACTATGGGGTTTCAACAAACTTCCAAGGAGGCCTCAAGATGACTTAAAGTGTTGCAAAATAAGACAAAACAGGTATTAAAATAAGCTAAAACAAAATAAACTAAAATATCAAATGATTTCTTATTTTAATTTACAACCTCATTAACTTTTTGTTTCCTTTGGGTAACTAAGATTCCAGAGTCTTTGAGAACTTGAATATATGAGGTAGCCTAATTTTAAAAGTGTGATTTGTAAACCTTGGAAAAGTCATGTAAATTAATAAAATCTTAAAACACCATTAGGCATTTGACAGTGAATATACATACATCAAATTAAATCTTTAGCCAGTAAATAACAAATGACTGGAAGATTCATGTAAAGACAATAATTTTTTTAATTACACTAGGAGTGGCCATAGAAAAAAATAGGTGTGCTTTGAATCCATAAGGTTGAGAACGACTGGTTTAAATTCAACAAAATATAAAAATTGTAATTAAAATAAATAAAATTGTTACCTGCAGTTGTTTGGGTTTCTTTAGCTTCAGCTTGCCTGTTTTATACCCACCGTATTTTTCAAAAAGCTCAAAAAACCTGGAAGAAAGGAACAAGCACGATATTTTGCATTTTGGATCCATTAGTCATGCTTTAAGTGATTAAGTCTATTGAGTAGGTGACAAGAACACACATGGGATTCCGAACTTCCATCTTCATCTTCTGCTTTGGTGTACGATCTCCATGACGGATCACAGCTATCACACAGCGCAGCTCCATCCTAACGGACAGAACCACAAAAAAAGTCATTCTGATGCAATACCATAATAGGGGCACTTGGCATTTATTTTAAAGAAAGATTCATTTTACTTCCATTAATGAATAGTGTACACTACTTTAATGAGTCAAAGATGTGAGTATAGCATGTGATAAGTACATGGTCCCTGATGTAGTGGGTACAATAGGAATGTCCTCTGCCTCTGTAGGTATGGACCAAGGGATCTGGAACTGTGGAGCCAGCTCCCTCATCACAATATTTCTGAGAGAAAGAACAAGCCAAACTCATCACGTTGTGCATTTTGCAACTATATGTCAATCTGTTTGAATGACAAACATTTTGAATCTTTATCTGATTATTAGGCTTTACCCCAGGATCTTAGCACAGTCATCATAGTATTTCATGGAATTCTTCACAAAGCTAAATCCGTTAACATCACACACATACGAGTGGCCATTGGCTCGGAGGAGGTCGAATCCACACACTGTTTGCTAGAGTGCAAAGAGAATTTTTAAAAATAAAATCAATATGAACAGGTTTAACTGAACTGAAAGAAAAAAAATGCCTTAAACCCTGAAGCCCAGAAAATGTAATCTATCAGAAACATTTTCATTCTGTACTTGAAACCAAGAAACGAGCAGCTCATCTGACCTTGAATGCCAGACACACTTTACGGGCCACAAGCTTCTCCATAGCAGTGAGCATGACTGGGTAGCGGATTTCTTTGCCTTCACTGTCTCGCTCAACTTTCCCGTCGAGAGCAGGGGACTTACGAGCCTCTGCGTGAGCGTAGTCTGGCCCTACTGTATACACCTGCAACAAAACAAGCACGCACAAAAGCAAAAAATTATATTTTCATCTTATTTTCAAAGGAGAGCTGTAAACAAAAAAAAAAAGACAAAGACATTTTACAAATAGCACGAGTTTCCAGGCACACAGCATAACAAGATGAACAAGAACTAAGTCTAAAACAACAAACTGTCTAAGAAACGGTGCTGCTCCTCTAAAAAGAGCAAATTTACAATTGAACTAAACATGTAAGAAAACAAAACTTTGCTCTGTATAGATCAAGAGGAACAGGGTAATGCAATCCCTGGGTAAAAATTATGTTAAATTATTTAGTACCTTCACATCTGTGCCATCAGTTGGCATGAACTCTTCATAGATATAGGAGCCAGTTTTCCTCACACTGCTCTCTGGAGAGTAAACACTACTTCTGCTCCCAATCTGAAAAAGAGGCACATTCACACTCAAATATTCCTTTACTCCACATAGTGCATTTTGTGCATAATTCACAGTTTTGTTAATAAACTGTAGTTCATATAACTGTAAGCAGTGCTAGGGAAGTTACTATGAAACTACTACAAGCGGCTAATAATTTTAAGTAAATAAACCCTACAAGTTATAAAACATAAATACAACTAATAAAAATTAAAATGCACCATCATTTATATAACTGAATCAAATGTGTGATAAACATCCGAATTTAGAGCTGCAAAGTGTACTTTCTGTGACATGGTGTTACCAAATGGAACAGTTTTGCAAAAGTTTCATTAACACTATCCCTATCTGTTATTGGTCGAACAAATAATGCTCTACCCCAAACTCACAACACTGGTTGAGCAAGTGTTACTGTGTCAGGATGGTCAAGATGCTCAAAAAAAAAAAACGTTTTAGCCACACTGTTTTCAGGGAGTTAACATACATATGGCTTACTTAACTCTTATAGTATTTTTTAAAATCCAAATGAAAAAATAAAAGCTTGTGTTAACCACAGACCTTTTTTCAGGCATTTAACCAAAAAACACCTATTGACTTTGGGACGGTGGAACAGTAATTTCAAAAATGCTAAATTGTTTGTGGGTTTTAGGACTTTCCTGCAGCACTCTATAACTCTGGTTGGTAAATCAAAGGTTTTAATGAATGAATGAACTGCTAAAACAAGACTTCAAGTTAGTAGTGTTGCTCATTTTAGCTGGTTACTCCCCAACACTGACTAAATACACTGATAAACTCTTCAATTTTGTCTATTTTTAACAGCTGACAGGGAAGGCCATGCTCTTCTGTTTCTGTTTCGACCACTCCCAAAAACAAATGATGTGCCTGTGTGAGAGGGATGCAATTCGAGCTCTATGCATAGATAACAGGAAGTCATTGAAAAAAGACCTTTCTGAAGAGACGCTGGCTGCCTCCTCCAGCTGAAGTTGGGTAGTAGATGTACACATTATGGTCCTCAGCAGAAACAGGCTTCTCTACAAAGGGTTTTAGAAAGACTTCACCGTTAACTTCAACTTGGTCTTCTCCCTCAACAAGGTTACACTCTATGGCAAAACACAAGAAGGAAAGGCCAATCAAAACAGTATTCCAGTGAAGAGAAACAATATCTGAGCAGATACACAGTTAATACAGTCATCATCTGAGATATGACCATTATGTGGATTTATAACTGGGTAAATATAGCACTTTGATTGTAATTTGTTTAGAGGAGGATACATTTATTCAGGTCCTGAGGGAACTGTCATAGCTGCCAAGAACATAATGGCTCATTGGATGCCAGATGGTCCCATCACAGGACTCTGAGAAATACTTGTATCTTTGGCCTGTAAAACACTTGAAAATGCTCTGCGTGAGGGGCTATATTTACTCAGAGACTAAAATAAATCAGAGCAGAGACAAAGCAGGACACTTTGCTAAGATTAAGGTTTGTACTTCACTATTGGATGATGAGGAAATAAGCAAGCAAATAACAAAAGACAGCTCTTTAAAAACATTACAGGAAAAAAAAAATAAGAAACAGTTTGTATTTTTGAAAAAAGCTATGACTGACCATCAGGATTGTCAGGGTCACGGTTTAACACAGCATAGCGTGGCAGATCTACCCCCTCCTCCTGCAGGATACGATATACTTCCCTCCTAAAATATGATTTAAAAAAATCACAGAAAAGCCTTATTCAGGTATCATACAGGATGCTGAAATGTATGTAAATATGAGAGACGATATGCAAAACTGTGGTTGAAGAACATGCTAATACCTATCCTGTATGTAATACTGCATATTAAGATCATTGATGAGCAGCGGGTTGCGGAGCTTTGTGTAACTCACTGCCTTATCCAAGGGGAAACCTAATTTAAGAGAAAATATTAATGTTGGTAGTACGGCCATGATAATATAAAAATGACTTGCCAAAGACACAACACACGGTAAATAAATTTGTAGACTGCTTATCAGGCATCTTTGCACACCAAGGGAGCAAATTACAGTAAAATTCATTGTTTGACATTTTCACAGGCAAAAATCCAGTCATTTCAATAGAAATCCATGCGATTGGGAACTTCATATGAGGGCAAAATGCAGATAGCAGATTTTTCCCATGCAGACTTTGCAACAGGTTCAAGTTGGTAACTCAAATTCGCTTGACCAGCAGAAAGCAGCTGGGTTTGAAAGTGACTTCTGTGTGAGCGGTGCTTCATACATCCCTACATTATTGACAATAGACAACTGACCTTTTAGCCCACAACATTTAGCTGAAATGTTACCAATGTGACCGTACCTCCATTGTGTACCTTCATTAGACTAGTTGATGATGCAGAAATGTTTAGTAACTGAAGCTGCTTCTTGATTTTATTGACTTATTTTACGGTTAAGACTTCGGTGGAGAAACACATGACATACCTTTAGAGTGAAATGAGATCAGGCAGTCACAGAGTGGCCACTTCTCCACCGGTTCATTAAGTATGACGTCCTCTGGAAAGATGACAACTGTGATGTACTCAAACTTGCAAAGACGCTCCAAGATCTGAGTCATGGGTTTGGACTTGGATTTCTTCATCATACAGCAAATCCCCACCACGATCTGACACTCTGGAGGCTTAAGAGAAACAGCAAGAATTTAAATAAGACATACCGGTATCTACCTAGACATATCAAACTCAGCAGTAGGGCTGCACGATAAATCAAATACGTGATGATGATTTCTTGCTGATTACAGAACCGGCTTTTTTAACAAAATGTGCATGACAATCGCATTCGATTAATCATGCAGCCCTACTCAGCAGCAAGACTGCATGTGAGTGGCCATACTTATGTGACCAGAAGATGTTGAAAAGAACACTTCAGGAGAATCGCAGGAACAACCGGAGACATACTGCATAACAAAAACAGCCCTAAATTATATCAAAATCTAAAATATTAAAAAGGTTAAGCCAAGGCATTGTTTATTCCTTAAATCGGACTGTTTGACATTTCAAGGGTATTGATTAACTCTCTATAATTGCATGGCCATAAAGCAGTTTTGTTGCACAGTACTTCGCCACTGAACATTTTTAAATTAGTAATGGTGGCATAGGCTTCTAAGCAATACACTTAATTGGCAGTTCTATACTGTGTTCTATACTGCTGTTCAAATGTTTAGGGTTAGTACATTTTTTTTTATTAATACTTTTATTTAGCAAGGATGCATTCAAATGATTATAAGTGACAGTAAAGTTTGTTAAACAGAAAGGTTTCTTAAGCACCAGACCAGCATATTAGAATGATTTCTGAAGGATCATGTGACACTGAAGACTAGAGTAATGGCTGCTGAAAACTTTTTTTACATGCTTCTGTTCTCAAACTACTAAATCTCCAAGTATGTGAAGGACTTCCTGCAAAATCCCTCTATTAGACTAGTCCACACCATTCGTACCGAGTCATCCTCCAGGTAATCTTCGTACAGCTCCATGTCTGTCCTCATGCTGGCGCAGTCGTCCAGGCCTTCGCTCTCATCCTCCACGCAGCCCACGAAGAATCTGGGAGCGCCGCACTGGCTCTCGCCGGGGCTGCTGGGCTCTGACATTACAGTCCACAGCGGCAGCGACTCTCTGCTTCCTGCCGCGCCATCTCACACTAACACACAGAACTGGAGGGGCACGCGGCCAGACCAGCTCCGTATCCAGCCTGCAGGAGCGGCGGTGGGGTCGCTGGTGGAGCGTGTGAGTGTGAGTTAACGAGGTAGAAGGGAGGCTGAACGAGGCCTGCCAAAGTGCAGGTAAATAGTTATTTGAAAGGATGTGAAGTGCTGGACTGATAACACAAATGCATTCTTCCTAAGGTTGATGCTTTTCCGTTTATATGAGAGAGGATCTTTCTCCAGATGTCTTAACAAGATCCTCAAAGAGTGAACTGAAGAATGAAAAAAAGCACCTTCATTCCTACAAAAACAAACAAACATGCTTAATCAATAAGGGATCCAATAAGTCAGTGCACACATAAATTGTAACCTCGGTGTCAGGAGTGGCATTTGTTTTAGCTTAAAAGGGATTGGTTGATGGTCACTGACAGTAGTCCTTGCACACTTAACACAGCCAAATAAAAGGTTAGTTCACCCAAATATGAACATTCTGTCATCAATTACTCACCCTCATGTCATTTCAAACCAATAAGACTTTCATTCATCTTTGAAACACAAATGAAGATGTTTTTAATGCAACCTGAGAGATTTCTGTCCCTCCACTACAAGTCCATTCCACCAACACTTTGATGCTTCAAAAAGTTAAAGACATCAGAAATGTAATCCATAGGAACTGAGCAGTTTAATACAATTCTTCTGATAACTTTTTATGATGAAAGGATTTTATATGATGAACAGACTTTATATGATGAACATAATTAGGCTTTGCTTTATTCACATGTAAACTTTGATCAATACACATACATAGAGCACATCAAATATGGTAAACAGAAACTCAAATTAGGGGTGAGCGATATTGCAAAAAAATCACATTTTTTTCAGGCAGGAGACACAATCCCACAGAAACTGAATGATCAAATGGATCAATAAAACACTATAATATAGTCTTCACTGTATGAATTAAATAAAAAAGTCATTCATATGAAAACTACAAAAGATTTTCAGTCAGTTTCTCCATCTTTTGTGATTAACATTAAGGACACACAGCAGCAAGTATATTAATCTGCTGTCACTTTAAGACCTTATGCATGGATCTAGGCATTGTGCCTAGTTGTTCTAAATTCACTGTAAACCACACCTTTAATTGGGCTTATTGCTAAAATATTGCTCAGTCCTAGCTCAAATGTGCTTGACATGTGAGAGCCAAGGCGGTTTGTTCTTGCGTGGCACGCAAGTATGGTTGAATGAGAACCAGTTTAGGGATGGGCGATACCTCTTATTTTATTTTCGATCCGATACCAAATTTTATTTTCGATCCGATACCGATATTTTCAAGCCCAGTATCGTCGATATCGATACCGATACCGATACCTCTAAACTAAACTGATCTTTTAAATTATTAAAAGAATATAATCAGTAATTATACTCACTTAATATTAGATTTTAAAGCCACAGTTTTTTTTACATTTCATAGGCCTTTTTTGTTTACACTGTCAGAATGTAAAATATCCTATAATTGTATTTTAGCCCTTTACTGGGGCAGTAACCTCACAGGTGCAACTATACCCCTAAAAGGGAGCATATTAGAACCATACAAGTATGCATGCTTTAAGGGTAGATAAGTTACAAAGGTGCACTTTTGAGGGTACCTCATGAAAAATAAACATGGTGTTACATAAGTACTAAAATGTATTATTATTATTATTACCATGGTAAATTTGTGATCAAAGCTGAATTTTAAGCATAATTACTTCAGTCTTCAGTGTCACATGATCCTTCAGAAATCATTCTAATATAATTTGCTGCTCAAGAAACATTTATTATTATTGCTGCTTCATATTTGTGTGGAAACCGTCATGCATTTTTCAGAATTAATTTTATATATAGTAACAATGTTATGTAATGTATGTAATAATGTGGCAATGGTTTCTATAGATATACTTAAGCTTCTGATGCTTTCGGGAAACGCAGCCCTATTTGAACAAGCACTGTGAGCCATGCGTCAGCAGCGAACGCTGTCTGTGATTGATTGGTTCTGTCTTTCAGCATTTGC